CACGCCCACAGAGGCGCCTCACACGCAGCCCGTCCTTTTGCAGAGGGTGTCCCCCGCCAGACCGGCCCCTGGCTCCTGTCAGCACCGAAACCACAAATGCTACGCACGTCCCCAGCAGCGTCCTCAGTTACGAAGGCACCACGATGTGGCCGCTGGCTACCATCAACTGCGTAATCATAGCCTTCGTGTTCTCCAAGGGGAAGCCGTTTCGGAAGCCCATCTACACCAACTGTGAGTATAGCTGGACGCCCGCGCCCTTCGCAGACCTGTGCTCCCATCCTAAAACAGCACTGGCAGGGAGCTAGCTGAGATGGTGGTGCTTTCATTCGCCTCATCCTCTTAATCTGAGTTAAAAATAATCCTCTTAATATGAGTCAATCTGGCTAAAAGCCAGCGTAGATTATTGTAGTGGGAGCAGCGCTGACTGGGTTTAGCTACGGACCCATGCATAACTCTTTAGCAAGGCCGGCAAGCAGGTCTGAGCATCATTTTTGTGCCAGCACGGCCCCAAGGAAACAGAAGGCCATGCCAGCAGATGGATGGCGCGTGCATTGCAGAGGGCACCATGCTGTAATCGTTGCCTGTTAAACACATTTGCTGAAAATCCGTATCCACAAACGAGCTCTGTGCTGTCTCTGCGCAGCATCCAGCCCTGCCAGCTCTCTCCGCACCCAGAGCTGGGCAGAAGTGAGCTCGCAATGCCCTCCTTGCCCTCCATGTCTCGGTGCCTGCAGAGCGGTGTTGTGGCCTGCTCGGTCCTCGGCCTCCACTGTGGCAATGAACAAGGCTGCTGAAGGATACCAGTGACGTGGACACTGGGACCTGGATCCTCAGAAGCACGTGGGCCCCGGATCCCATTGACCTAAGAAGGGGTTGGGGGCACCTCCGTACATTTGTGCTAGTAGGAGCTGCTCTGCAACCACCAGATCCTTTGAAAAAGGCCAGGGCACAGCAGATGGCACCAACCTGCCTGGACCACCCCAGAAGGCTGTATATATTCCCTGAGCAAAGTCCCAAATGACCTGGCTTCCAGTGCAGCTGCACTACGACCACCCCACCCCTGCATAGGGCATCGTGCTGAAATGCTCCACGTCTGCAGTCCCCATTCTCACAAAGGAGTCATGCACATGGGTCGGGGAGGAAATAGGGCTCACCGAGACAGGTCTTGTCCCCCCAGGTGTGCTGGATGACACCACGGACGCCCCTTTTCCTGCCACGTACGCAGGTAGTGTGCATCAGCCCGTATCTGCCACATCACGTGTGCAAATAGCAGGGATGCAGGGGGTTCATTTTGTGGCACAACGGTGCGGTCTCCCAGCTCTTTCTGTTCGTCAAGCCAGCAAGCGCTGCTGAACCAATGGAGGCAGCCCAAGCGGTTTGGGAGCTGCCAGCCCCAAGTCATCCACAAACACATCACAAGCGGCTCGGGGTACGGACACCGTTCACAACTCAGTTAACACTCTTGTTCCCCCAGATATATTTTCACTCTTCCTGCTCCTCCAGCTTGGAATCTGCATTTTTCTCCTCTTTGCTGACATCGCTGTTGTGTACCGCGGGATGGAGGTAAGGAGGAAGGACAACTCATGCTTTTCCATGTCCCCCACCCTGGCCCGATGCCTTTTGCACAAGTGGAAGGAGAAAGTTCTTGATGCACAAAGTGGGGACTATGCTGCCCTCCCGCATCCACCCACCGCAGCCTTAAATGAGGCTTCCTTAATGTGGCCTTCAGATGCAAGGGTAGTGCTGCCTACCCGTTATGTCCAGCCACGTGGGAGCTTTGTGTGACCCTTGGAAAGCCCAGGAGCAGGGTCCACCACTGAAGTGGCTTAATCCTCTCAGCCGCCTGAGGAGACAACACGATGCTGCTGTCGTCTTAACCTTAGTGCTAAGCCATGAGAAAAGACACCGCCTCAGGCTTGGGGACGGTGAGGGATCGGCAGAAATTGGACAGACGTTTGCAACCCAGTGACTTGTGTTTTGCTATTTCTTTTCCAACAGCTCCTCTGCACTCCCACGATGTGGAGGGTTTATATCTTAATCACCGCGTTGGTCACCTTCTGCGTATCGTTCGTGGTGGAGGTGAGTGTGCGTCTTTATCCCCCGAAAACCAGCAGAAAAAACACACGCTTCCCATGCATTTCTTTCCTCCCTCCAGGAAGAGACTGTAGCTCCTGGTCAAGTGTAAACCCCAAGGGTTTCTGAGGCAAACAACTCTGCAAATGTTAAACCAAATCTCATTGTGTGTGCACGGCGTGCCATCCCGTCTTTCACATATGCCTTGTGCAAGGAGTGAGCCTGAATGTTTTCAGGGAGGAAAAGTGAGGCTTTGCTCACTAGTTACAGAACAAGGTTAGATCTGCAGACCAGGGACCGGACTAGTGCAGCTTCCCAGGGCAGAAGCAGATGCTCACAACCAGCACGACGCGCTCCCCGTGCGGTGCGCTATTTCTGTAGCGAGCGAGCCCACAAAGCAGGTCCTGCAAACAATGCACCTATGGCTTCTTCTACTCACAGCGCTATGACCCCAAAAGGGAGTTTCTCAATTTGAGCCAGGAAGAAAATCAGCCCCCATCTCTCTGTGCTCATAAACCCACCCGAATGCAATGCATTGCATGGATGGAAGGGAGGAGAATCTGCTTGTGAGCTAAAAGGCAGGAATAAAGATAACCCTGGAAAAAGGGAGGAACAAAAATAACACTGCAAAGCAGCGTAGACCGTGGAGCCTGCACTGGAAGGGCCCAGGGCTCTAGTCTTTGACGCTTGCAGGAGGTTGGGGTGAAAGTCTGCATAGGGGCGGGATCAGGCTGCTCCTAGGCAAGGTCCACACGTGTTGGCGAGGGCAAGATCTCACCCGCTACCCTAGCAGCCGATTTAACTCTGCTAGCCAGCGCGGAAAGCAGCATTAACTCTGCGCCATCATTTCCCAGGACCTCATCCTGCAAAACAGACTTCTCTGGTTGCTGATTAAGAAATGCTTCGGCTTCCGCTCCAAGAGCCAGTACCGGAAGTGGCAGAGGAAGCTGGCCACGGATCCAACGTGGCCTCCCTTGCAGCGAACAGATTTTGCAGAAAACGGCAAGAACGAGATCTACACAAACCCAGCCTATGAACACGGCGAGGAGAAGTAAGCCTTCTTGCAGGAGCCCAGCCACAGCCTATGGTCAACCTCCCTAATTTATAAGGAACCTGGACTAGCTTCACTGTTTTTATATGTACAAACACCACTTCCTTTTTGCTTTATTACTATTTTTTAAATATAAGCACGCCAATACCAGCCACGTCACATCACTTGAGAGGTGCAGGTGGGGTCTGTTACAGTTCTGCCCTCGAACACTGACAAGCACTTTCTTTTTGTAGAATAACCATATTCCAGGTAGTTTTATTCACTTGATTGCTTTTTATGATAAATACAGGTATCTGTTCAATAAAATTGGTATTGCAGAAAACAGGTAAAACACGAAGTCTGATTCCACTCGGTCACCGCAGACCTGCCCGAGTTTCCAACGTGCGGTGCCCAGACAAGTCCACACTCCAGCACATCTTTACACAAAGAAACTTACTGTGTGGTTTCCCCACGGCAAGTCAAGGGATTTGATTTTTGCTTTTCTTTGGGAGAATCCCAGTCCGCAGGTGTTAGGGCACGTCCCTTTTGCCCCCTGCACAACCCATGCATGGAGCTCATCATGCATGCCGGGAAGGTGAGGTGTCGTTGGAGGGGCACACGTGAGTGGATTTGCAGCGGAGCATGGACACTTCAAGCCCAAGCTGCACAGAAAGACAAACTCATGGAGAGTTTGTCATGTTATATATAATAATATATACTTCTATATTATTATTATTATATATAACTTTTTTCAAATGAACTGAGTATGTGGTATACCTCTTGCTGTTGAGGTCTCAGGCTCTGCAGGCTCAGACTCGCACACCTGAGTGTGCGCTCTCACATGCTACGTGGGCTCTGCACTGCCGTCGGGGGACCCCACATGGTAAATGAGGGCAGAGCCTGCTCCTCTTTGATCTCACACACGACTCAGTCAACACATAGACCAGATCACATGGGTGCCAGCACGGGGGCAAGAGGGTGGCCCTGCCAGGCTATGCTGATGTGCATCTCTCTCCACGGCTGGGAAGCAGCCCAGTAGCATCAGCTCGGCATTACAGCTGGAGGCACACGCTGCTCTGCCCACAATTTCACCCCCTCCCACCGCTGCGCTTTACTTGGCTGTTTTTGGCTTGCTCTGGGCAGACCTGAGAAGAGCCTCACATTCAAAAACCCACCTAACTCTATGCCAGGGACACAGATCAATACAAGATTTCACCTTAAGAAATCCTTGCCTCTCACATCATTGCTGCCAAGAAGGCAAACGGCATCCTGGGCTGCATCGGCAGGAGTGCTGCCAGCAGATTGAGGGCAGAGATTATTCCCCTCTATTCGGCACCGGGGAGGCCACATCTGCGTCTGGCTGTGGCTCCCCACTGCAGAAAGGATGTGGACACACTGGAGAGAGTCCAGTGGAGGGCAATGAAAATGGATGTGGGGCTGGGGGACAGGACTGGTGAGAAGAGGCTGAGGGAACTGGGCTGATTGAGTCTGCAGAACAGAAGACCGAGGGGAATTGAATAGCAGCCTTCACCTGGCCTGGTCTCAGTGGGGGCAGATGACAGGACAAGGAGCAATGGGCTCAAGCTGCAGCAAGGGAAGTTGAGGTTGGATATTAGGAAAAACTCTCTCCCAAGGAGGATGGTGAGGCACTGGAACGGGTTACTCAGGGAGGTGGTGGAGTCTCCACCCTTGGAGGTTTTGAAGCTCTGGCTAGACAAAGCCTTGGCTGGGATGATGGAGTTGGGGCTGGTCCTGCTTGTAGGAGGGTATGAGACTAGCTGTGACCTCCTGAGCTCCCTTCCTACTTCTATTTTCTATAATTCTCTGATTTCTGGACCATCCTGGCTCCAACATCACTGACCCCACCATTCACATGCACTGTAACAAAATGCCTCCGTGTTGTTTTCCATTGTATTCAGCTTTAGTTTAACATGATAGCAGAACAGCAGACGTGGCTGCGCTACGAGACACAGCCAGGGGTCCCGGACTTGGTATTCGGATGCTGAAATCACAGATGATGGGAGCTCCCGATTCAGGCCTGCCTGTACACTTGAAAATGTGTAACAACTTTATAGCTGGTTCCTCTCCAGCTTTAATTGAACCTGTGGCGAGGTCCTGCAAATTCTGAGCAAGGCTCTGCCGAGGAGATGCCGTGTGCTCCTTGATGGGGTTGGCTCTCCGGCTCCACCTCTCCCAGCTGGTCCGAGGATGAGCCCCGCTCCTGACAGCTCCAAGGAGCAGCACAGAGAAACGGCTGCCCGGGCAGGGGGAGGAAATCCTTTTCTCAGAGCAAGACACCCGCTCACAAACATAGGAGTGAGCGCGAGAGTCAGGCCTCGCTCCTCCTCCCCGTGTCACGCAGCTCCGGGCTCGACACGGCAGCAGCTCCGAGGTGCAGCACACGTCCCCTGCACCTACACGAGGACAGCTGCAAGCCAGCGTGACCGGCCGTGTGTAGAGTCCGTCAGGCAGTGGAGGGGAAGGTTATCACAGTTCATAAATATTCCTCTAAAAATGTGTAAAAACGGTTTTCCAAACAAGTAAAAAAAAAGCTATTCACTGAAAAGCCCCAGGAGAGCGGAGTCTGGACAAGCCCCGTCAGCAGCCAGCACACAGCAGGCTCCTTTCCCAGTTCAGTGCCCAGCAAAGCCGTGCCCGCCAGCGTGAAGCTGTCGCTCGTTAGTGCGCCACAATGCGCAGGAACACCATCGCGCCCGATCGACCCGACGCATACTCCAGCCAGGGCTCCTGGTGTCTGACGGTCTGTGCTGCCCCAGGCAAGCTGGCCTCCACCGTCTGTGCCAGACGTGCACCTTGGCACGCGATTAACAGTGCCGCTCTCGGGACTTGTTCTGAAAGAAGCCCAGCAAGGAGAAAGCGCCGGCAGCAGCGGTTACGAACCCAATGGCCCCAATGGCTCGGTTGGCCTGCAAGAAAGAAGCAAAAGAATCAGGGGCTTTGTCTTTCCTGAACACAGACACTGCTATTGATGCAACCGGCACCTGCGAAGCCGGGCACAGCCCCCGTTAGATGGATGCATCTCGCTAGTGTGAGACCCACTGCAGCTCCGAAGTACCCACTGCTGCTTGACAGGCCTGAGGCCAGACGGGGCTTGACTGCATGTGGACCCATGGCTAAGGCCAGCGTTTGATCCCCACCGAGCCCAGAGGCACGGCCAGATCCCAAGACGTACGTACACACGCCAGACCCAGTAGCAGCCGCCGCACGGGGCTTGGACCCCCTCTTATAAATTGCCACGAGGATCTGAGGTTTCTAGGCCTTCTAGCTTGTATCCCAAGTCACCCAGACCCGCATCAATACTGAAGCCCCTGCTAGACGTTACATATATTTAGCAATAAACGGGTGAATTGCACAGTAAGTTGAGACCGGCCACATGTGCAAAGCAGTGATGGCACCATAAAAATGTCTGTCCAGCTATAAAAAGAGGCAACCGTGTTGAAAATGCGTCACAGCTTTATAGCTGGTTCCTCTCCAGCTTTAATTGAACCGGTGGCGAGGTCCTGCAAATTCCACCCCCGCTGCTTGCTCCTGGGTGCCCCCACACAGGGCGGGGAAGGTGGGCAGGGACATAGGAGCAGGTCCTGACCGGGCAAGAAGAGCCGGGCGGAGCCGGCCATGCGCACCCCCACGTGCACCGTGCGCCCCCCGTACCTGCTCGGAGACGCCCTCGCCGTAGCGCAGCAGCGTGACGAAGTGCTCGCAGTTGTTGCCCAGCAGGTCGTAGGAGACCTCCTGGCCGATGAGGAACTCGGCGCGCCGGATGATCTCCTCCACGGGCAGCGGCGTGTAGGCGTCGTCGTACTTGTTGTTGATCTTGTACGTGTCGCTGCCCACCACGTCCTTCAGCAGCTGCATCTTCACCAGCGCCTTGCGGCTGAACACCGACTTGGCGCTGGCCAGCGAGGCCGCGGCCCCCTCGTCTGGGGAGGCAGAGACGGGCTGAGGCCGGAGGCTGCCGGTACAGCACCCAGCCGCGCGAGCTCCAGCCCAGGCTGGTCCCTGCTACTCGGGTCCGATGCCCAGCTGGCGCCACGCGCCCCTGGGACCTGCCCGCCCTGCATCTCATTGCAACCAGCTCCCCGGGCACAGCGCCGCTGGGACAGACGGGCTCACCTCTGCGCTGGTGCCCAGGAAGGACGAGGCGAGGTTACGGGACATGCCAAAGGCCGCGTAACGTCCAGCAGCGGTGCCAGGAGCCCTCTGCTGCTCCGCCCTCGGCATGCAACGCGCCCGTGAGGCCGGGAGGCCCGGCCACGTCGGCTGGGCGAACGTGCTGCGTCCCGGGCGGAGGAGTGGGGCAGCTCTTACCTACGGGCGCCACGTTGATGACGTACCCGTCGCCCAGGTACAGCGCCCAGTGCTGGTAGGCCGGCCGGAAGATCTCGATCAGGTCCCCGGGCTGGGGGTTGCCGGGGTAGGTCACGCTGAAGCTGTCGTTAGCTGCCATCTGCAAGCGGCGGCAGGGAGACGCCGGCTCAGCCTGGGTTTCCACCCGATCCTGCGGCGTGGGCCGGGGCGCCTGAGACAGACGATTCGCGGGAAGGGTCAGGCCACATCCTTACAACCCCCGGCCTGCCCGCCCCCCGCAGCCGGGGGGGAACACCCCACTGCTGCTGCGACTGCTCCTCCAGCCCCTGCCCCAAATCCCCTTGCCGTGCCCTGGGACGGCCCCGCAGCCGTGGCTCCGCCGCCTCTCGCCTCCGCACCGCTGCCCGCTCGGGGCTAGCGCGCACGGCTGTGCCCGCGGGTAGCGAGGGCTTTGCAGCTCCGCCCGCTGCGCTGCCCTCGGCCCGGC